TATAGAAAGGTGTCAAAACACACAGTGCATTGCAGTTTGTTTCATTTAGGGCTGCGTAGCCACAGACCAATCAGGCTGACTCAAGTTCCGATGTAACAAACAGCGAGCAGGCAGGCTTGCTGTATACTTTCCTGCTTGCTGAATTCTCTGGCACTGTAAACTGAGTTGCACATGCAGAGCACAGCTTACAGGGCCGGTCTCTGCGTGCTGGAATAACAGATGTCATCCCAAGCCAGTCAACAAGGACAGCAGAAGACCGGCACCCAGGATAAGATGCCAGCAAGGGACTGTTGAAAAGATAAGCATTAACCCCTTTAGTTCCACTTTAAGTAACTGTGCAAGCCTGGTTGGCTCAGGAGCAGGTGGTGGTTAGGGGACCAGAGTCACCCTCCTGGTGGTGAGAGAAAACCCCACTCAGATGCCCCTTTGTGGCATGGGCTCCAGTTGTTCAGATGGATTCCCAGAGCCCTAACCTGGACCATGGAAAACACTGGTCTGTGTGTGAAGGTGCTGAGGGTGTTAGGGGGTTGATAGGACTGGAGACCAGGAGGATGAGTTAGAAGGGCCTATGGCTTGCATCCTTGTACAGTTGCAAGAAAAAGTATGTGAACCCTTTGGGATTACGTGGAGTTTTGCATGAATTGGGCATAAAATGTGCTCTGAACGTCATCTAAGTCACAACAATAGAAGAACACAGTCTGCTGTACATAATACTACACAAACATTAGATGTTGCCATGGTTTAATTGCACATAACATGTAAACATTCACAGTGCATGTGCACAGTGCACAGTGGACAGTGCACAGTCCACTATCGGGGTCTCCGAGCGGGAGTAGTAAGAGGATGCCTCCTCTCCACGTCAGGCTCCCCAACCAGGTACGTGACACACTGTAAACTTTGCCATCCCTAAACTTCAGCTAAACCAGTTGCCCTCCACCCTATAGCAGAAATACGTGATTTGCATTTCTGGGTAGAGTAGTGGCACCGCCATTGGAGGCTACAGTCCCTTCGGGCACCTGGCAATCGCCGAGTAACCCTGACAGGGGAGAGACCTGTGTGTAAACAACACAGGTCTCTCTCCTGCCAACAAAAGCATACTGCTGTGTATTTCTCTGTACAGCATACACAGAAATACACAGCAGCATGTTTCCCAAGTAAAAACACATAGCACAGTTATAAAGCACAGCACACAGTTAACTCTTTGATCACCCCAGATGTTAACCCCTTCCTGCCCAGTGTCATTAATACAGTGTCATTGCTTTTTATTAGCACTTATCACTGTATTAGTGTTATTGGGATGTCAGTGGCAGTTAGTCAGTGCCCACCCAGTGTCAGAATGCCTGCCGCAGTCCCAATATAAGTCACTGATCGCCGCCATAACCAGTATACAAAAAATAAAATAAAAAATTTTATTATACAGTATATACCGCCATTTGTAGATGCTATAAACTGTCACGCAAATCAATTACTTATATATTGGGATTTTTTTTAGCCAAGACATGTAGCAGAATACATTTTGGCTTAAGTTAATGAAGAAATTAGATTTTTTTAAATTTTCTTACTGGATATGTTTTATAGCAAAAAGTCACAAATATTGTGGGGTTTTTTTTCAAAATTGTCAGACTTTTTTGTTTATAGCACAAAAACTAAAAACCGCAAAAAGTGATCAAATATCACAGAAAGAAAGTTCTATCTGTGGGGAAAAAAAGGACATACATTTCATTTGGGTGCAGCATTGCATGGCTACACAATTGTCAGTTAAAGTAACAGAGTGCCATATCGCAGAAAATGGCCTGGCCAGGAGGGGGGGGGGGGGGGTAAATCCTCCAGAGGGCAAGTGATTAAAGATTATTTCTTACTTGTGTGACTTTTATTTCTGTATTTGACCTCACATCTGTCTCTGTGATGTCTACAGAAGGAATAAGGAGAGCAGTCATTAAAGTGTAGTTCTCCATTTGGAAGAGAAGGTTGAGGACCCTGAGGGGCGCTTCCTGTTCTTAAGGGGTAATTACAGGAAACAGAGTGCATATTGGCAAATATTTATTGCCCCAATAGAAATCCAGTGGTCTATCTGAAAAATATATTGAGAAGACTTCTGGATTTTAAAAAAAGGTGAACTAATTTTGTTGTGAGATTTAAATTTTTGCATGGATCCCCAGATTGGTACGATGTCACATGTGCAGAGAGAGGAAAGTAAATCTCTGAAATCCTTATGAAGAATGTTATATCAATGTCAATTGGTGGATGTTTGGAGAATTAAACATCCTAAAGAAAGGTATTATACGTTCTACTCTCTACCACATGCAACGTATTCGAGATTAGATTATATATTGATGGACCATAGACTCTTGGAGTTGTTGGTTAAAGTAAATATAGAAGTCATAACAATATCGGACCATGCACCTGTCACAATGAAGTAATTTTGGGGAAAAGAGCAAAATATGTTAAATATGTGGAAACTAAATGAGACACTCCTTCAGGATCAGGAGATGGAACAGAGAATAAATAAAGAAATAGAACAATATTTTTAAAGAAATGAGACTGAAGGAGTTTCGACGGCCACGGTGTGGGAAGCCCAAAAGGCATATATCAGGGGAGTCTTGATAGCGATTGGGGTTAAAAAAAAAAAGGAACCTAAAGAAAGAATTAATACGCTTCTGAGGGATTTACATGAACTAGAACAGTTATATAAAAAGAAAATAACAAAAGAGATTCAGCAAAGTATAATTTGTAAATGAGAGGAACTATGTAATTTAATGGAGGAAGAAACAAGGAAAACATTTAATATGATGGCAAGAGAGCGATATTAGTGGGGGAATAGACCAGGGAAATATTTAATGAGAGCACAGAGAAATAGGAAATCAAGGAATTATATAGAAAAAATTAAAGATGAAAATGGAGAACTGGTTTACTCAACCACTGATATCGTGAATGTATTAAAAAAATATTATAGTAAATTATGTAATGTTATCTCACAGCGGTCCATAAGAGAAGAGGGAGAAATAATTAAAAAGAGACAGATTTACTTAAAGAGGTGAAATTGCTGAGACTAGGAGAAGAACAGTTAAGCTGCCTTGAGAATCCGATAACGCAAGAGGAAATCCAAGTGGCACTGAAGGGTACAACAGAAGGGAGGAGTCCGGGGCTAGATGGGTATACATGAGATATTATAAAAAAAATAAAGACCAATTAATACCTAAATTGAGGTTATATATGAATGCATTAGGAGAGGGGACAGAGATGAGGGAGGAATCCTTGCAAGCCCATATTACAATCATCCAGAAAGAGGGTAAGGATGAAACCCAATGTGCCAGCTATAGGCCTATCTCATTGCTAAATGTTGACGCCAAACTATACGCAAAGGTTCTGGCAAATAAGTTGAAAGACCTAATGCTGGAATAGATTTATATAGACCAAATGGGTTTTGTCCCTGGAAGGGAGGGAAGAGACAATGGGTTGAGATCATTGCTTCTTATTCAAAGAAGCAAGAGAGAGAAATCCCCGGTATTGATCCTGTCAGAAGATGCAGAGAAGACGTTTGATAGGTTGGACTGGGGATTTATGTTAGACACGCTGGAAGTTCTGGGAATAGGCCCCAAAATGATGGAGTGGATAAGGAAATTATATAGTCAGCTCTCTGCAGCAGTAAAGGTCAATGATGCGTTATCCGAATTCTTTAGGATGTACAACGGGACAAGGCTGGGATGTTCACTTTTGCCTTTGTTGTTTGTGTTGTCTTTGGAATCTCTATTAGCAACAGTAAGGAAAAGCACAGATATAAAAAGGGATCCAGATAAGAGAGATAGAACACAAGGTAGCAGCGTATGCTGATGACATGGTATTCTATGTGGTTAATACTAGGCTAACATTGCTCAATCTAATGAAAATAATGAAAGACTATGGAGAACTGTCAAATCTAAAAATTAATCTGACTAAATCTGAGATTTTAAATGTTAATGTTCAGAAAAGTGGGAAGAAAGCTTTGCAAGGAGAGTTTCCCTTCTCATAGAGGGAGGGAGAATTAAAATATTTGGGAATCAAATTAACTTCATCCTATAGGAATTTATATAAAACAAACTATATCCCTCTAATAAACGAGATTAAGGAGGAATTAAGGAAACTAGTGGTGGGAGCCTTATCTTGGATAGGACGAATACACTTGAAAAAAATGATAATTGTTCCATAAATTCTGTATAAATTCCACGTTACCTATACAGCTTCCGGGAATGTACTTTAAAATAATCCAAAAAATGATAACAAGATATATTTGGGGGAATAAAAAAAATGAGAAAAAGTTACAAAGTGCTGTGTAGAGACAAGGAGAATGGGGGTTTAGGCGTGCCAGATTTTAACCACTTGCCTACCGGGCACTTATACCCCCTTCTTTACCAGGCCAATTTTCAGCTTTCAGCGCTGTCGCACTTTGATTGACAATTACGCGGTCATGCAAGATTGTACCCATATGAAAATTTTTATCATTTTTTTCTCACAAATAGAGCTTTCTTTTGGTGGTATTTAATCGCCTCTGGGCACTTTACTTTTTGCGCTATAAACAAAAAAATTGCAAAAAATTTGAAAAAAAAAAAAGTTTCTTTGTTTCTATTATAAAATTTTTCAAACAGGTAATTTTTCTCTTTCACTGATGTGGGTTGATGAGCAGCAGCACTAATGGGCACTGATAGGCAGAACTGATGGGCACTGATGGGCACTGATAGGCAGCACTGAAGGGCACTGATAGGCAGCACTGATAGGCAGCACTAATGAGGTGGCACGGATAGGCGGCACTGATAGGCAGCACTAATGAGGTGTCACGGATAGGTGGTACTGATAGGCGGCACTGATAGGTGGCACTGATAGGCAACACTGATGATGGGTACTGATAGCACTGATAGTTGGCACTGACTGGCATCACTGCTGGGCACTGACTGGCATCACTGCTAGGCACATCCTCTGGGCAGTGACTGGTGGCACTGACTGGCAGCACTGCTGGGCTGCACTGATGGACACTGGTGGGTGGCACTGGTGGGCACAGGTGGGTGGCACTGGTGGGCACAGGTGGATGGGCACAGGTAGGTGGCACTTCTGGGCACAGGTGTGTGACACTGCTGGGTGGCACAGGTGGGTGCACTACTGGGCACAGGTGGGTGCACTGCTGGGCACAGGTGGGTGGAGCTAGTGGGGCGCACTGCTGGGCACAGGTGGGTGGAACTTGTGGGTGGCACTGCTGGGCACCAATCATCAGGGCACTGATCATCAGTGCCCTGATGATCGGTGCCAATCCCTGCTCTAACAACTGCCAGTTCTCGGCAGTACTTTCCTCACGATCTGACAGCGTGAGGAAAGTGCAGCCGAGAACCGGCAATTGCATTTCCCGGTGATCAGCGTGTCATTGGACAAGGCTGATCACATGGTAAAAGGCCGCTGTGATTGGCCTTTTACCACATCACGTAATCAGCTGTGTCCGTAGGACACAGCGATCACGGAGATCGCCGGGGTGTGCGCCCCCGGGGGCGCACAGGAGAGCGCGTTCTGGGAGGACGTCATATGACGCCCACCCAGAACTGGCCGGCCGCAGTGTAGCCGTCATTCGGTTATCTGCGGTCGGCAAGTAGTTAAGAGATATTCTCATTCTCTATTATTATCATGTATTTTTGATTGGACACATAATGCACAGGGGAAACGTTTGGTAAATACAGAAAATGCACTTAGTGAGACACAATTGAATAGGATGGTGTGGTTGCCACATCAATATCGAAGGTTGGCAGAAAGCATGAGCACTTATACACAAAATGTATTATGAATTTTGGATGTATTGCACAGACAAATGGGATGGGAATTCAACTCCATGTTGATGCCATTGGTTACAGATCTTTTCCCACCAGGGAAAGAAAACATTTTGGGGAACTGGATAAGAAAAAGAAATGCACAGTTAAAGGATATAATGAATGGGGAAGAAATCTGTTCCTTTCAGGAGCTGAAAAACAAGAAGGAACTCTTTTCTAGGTTAGATGAGTGGAAATATTTTCAACTAAGACACTTTGTGGTAAAGCTTCCTAGGCCCTTGAGAACAAAGGAGGATATGAACCCATTTGAACAATTACTTAGTATGCGCAGGGATGTGAAGCACGGTACCTCTCGAATTTATAAAATCTTTACTGTAATGACAGAGGTCACTGCCCTCCAGTATATGGAAAAATGGGAAAGGGAATTGGGAATAGTATTTTCTGAGCAACAAAAAAAGAAGATTTTTAGAATAGCACAGGGGGCTGTAGATATGAAGGTGGTGGAAAGGAATTATAAATGTATAGCTAGGTGGTGTGTTACACCAAGTGTGGCACATATGCAATACGAAGACAAATCACCTATGTGTTGGCGGGTATGTGGGTTTAAGGGCACAATGACACATATATGGTGGGAGCATCCTAAAATTCAGGAATATTGGGAGGGAATAATTCACCAAATTCAGGAGATAACAGGGGTAAGAATCCTGAAAGATCCAGAGGTTTGCCTATTCCACAAAACCGAGCTTACAGTAGAAAAATATAAAAGTTTGGTGATGTTTTATCTAATAAACGCAGCAAAAGGACTGATACCCAAATTTTGGCAGGAACAAGAGACACCAAAAATAAAAAACTGGATAGGTAGGGTGGAATATATGTATAGAATGGAGAACTCTACCACATAGAAGATAAAATGGAGAGGTTTAGAGAGAGGTGGAAAAAATGGGATGAGTTTAAGAGAACAAATAGATATATTGAAATGGCAGAAATAGAGAAGGAGGAGACAAGAGGATTGGTATAAGTGTAAGAAGAAAGTAAATATTGGAAAGAGGAGAAGGGAATTCTGAGGACACTCAGAAATGTGGAGGAATGGGGCGCTAAGGGAAAAGATATAGGGGTGGGGAGTGGAGGGGAGAGATGGGGGGAAGGTGGGCTTTTTTGTGGGAATGTCTAATAGGGAAATGTGTGTATATATATATATATATATATATATATATATTGTTATGATAATCCTTGTTGTGGTTTGAAGTTTTTGTTGAAATTTATAAATTAATAAATTATTAATTTAAAAAAAAAAAAAAAAGGGATGTCAGTGGCAGTTAGTCAGTGCCCACCCAGTGTCAAAATGTCTGCCGCAGTCCCGATATATGTCGCTGATCGCCGCCATAACTAGTATAAAAAAATAAAATTTAAAATTCCAGTATATATACTACCATTTGTAGATGCTATAACTGTCACGCAAACCAATTACTTATATATTGGGATTTTTTTTTAGCAAAACATTTTGGCCTAAATTTATAAAGAAATTAGATTTTTTTAATTTTCTTACTGGATATGTTTTATAACAAAAAGTCAAAAATATCGTTTTTTTTTTTTTCAAATTGTTGGTCAAATTGTTTAAAGCACAAAAAATAAAAACCGCACAGGTGATCAAAAATCACAAAACGAAAGCTCTATCTGTGGGAAAAAAAGGACATAAATTTCATTTGGGTGCAGCATTGCATGACCGCGCAATTGTAAGTTAACGTAACACAGTGCCGTATCGCAGAAAGTGGCCTGGCCAAGAAGGGGGGTAAATCCTCCAGAGGGCAAGTGGTTAAAGATTATTTCTTACTTGTGTGACTTTCATTTCTATATTTGACCTCACATCTGTCTCTGTGATGTCTATAGAAGGAATAAGGAGAGCAGTCATTAAAGTGTAGTTCTCCATTTGGAAGAGAAGGTTGAGGACCCTGAGGGGCGCTTTCTATTCTTAAGGGGGAAAATACAGGAAACCGAGTGCACAGTAGCAAATATTTATTAAGGAGAGCAGCCATTAAAGTGTAGTTCTACATTTACCACTTGCGTATCAGTCTGTAATACCCTCTGCTTTACTAGGCCATTCTTCAGTTTTCAGTGATGTGATAGTTTATGTGGTTATGCAACACTGTACCCAAATACATTTTTGCTATAAATGTTCATATTTTCCTATATCAAGAAAAATTTTTTTGTTATAATATAAATACCAGGACAATGTGAATACCCTCAAAATGACACCTTTTTGGAAAGTAGACACCCCAAGGTGCTCTAATTTTTGCCATTTTTTGGAAATGAAAACTGTGTTGGCATTTTATAGAGCTTGTAGAGGTCATATACAGAGAGATGAGGTGAAGGGGTTAATTTAAAGGTCACATACAGTGGGTGGATGGAGATTGGGGGGGGGGGGGGGGGTAATGTAAAGATGTGCAGTATATGGGATGTGAATATATAGGTTTACATGGAGACAATTGATGTCAGAAAAAAAAAGATCTCACAGTGAGTGCAATGAATGAATGGATCAGCAATGTCTGCAGTTTCTGCAGTGTCTGAGCACAGAGCTGTCCGATGATGGCTCAGCACACGGTAATTAATGCGCACACCTGATGCCCACGGGTTATTTCTGCACTGGTATGGTGGTAGAAAGGGGGTTCAATTTTATTGCAGGTATTTATAGATTATCCACCATTCACATATATTGTACATTCACACCAGTTCTTAACCACCTCAATACAGGAAACTTTTAACCCCTTCCTGCCCAGACCAATTTTCAGCTTTCAGCACTCTCACACTTTGAATGATTACTCATGCAACACTGTACCCACATACATTTTTTATTTTTTTTTCACACAAATAGAATTTTATTTTGGTGGTATTTAATTAGCACTGGGTTTTTTATTTTTTGAACTATAAATTAAAAAAGACCAAAAATTTTGAAGAAAAAAGCATTTTTCTTTGTTTCTGTTATAAAATTTTGCAAGTAAGTAATTTTTCTTCATAAATTTAGGCTAAAATGTATATTGCTTTGGTAAAAATAATCCCAATCGGTGTGTATTATTTGGTGTGTGTGGAAGTTATGGAGGCTACAAGCTATGGTACCATTCACTGAAAATTGAACACACCTGATCAAACCTGATGTACTGACGGCCTATCTAATTTCTTGAGACACTAACGAGCCAGGATAGTACAAATACCCCCCAAATGACCCCTTTTTGGAAAGTAGATATTCCAAGGTATTTAGTAAGATGCATGTTGAGTTTTTGAACCTGTAATTTTTTTACCATAATTCTTTGGAAAATGAAGAAAGTAAGTAAAATTTTTTTTTTTTCCACACAACTGTTATATTAACAGGTTATTCCTCTCACACAGCATGCATACTTGCAGCTTCACCCCAAACACATTCTGTTGCTTCTCCTGAGTATGGGGATTCCACATGTGTAAGACTTTTCCACAGCCTGCCCACACACAGAGGCCCAACATCCAAGTAGTGCCTTCAGGCATTCTAGAGGCATAAATTACACATCTCATTTCCTGACTACCTTTCACATTTTTTTAAGGCCCTGAAGCACCAGGACGATGAAATTACCCACAAAATGACCACATTTTGGAAGGAAAACACCCCAATGTATATTCTATGAGGCATAATGAGTCTTTTGAACATGTTATTTATTTCCACGTTTTCGAAATATGTGGAAAGATAATGAAACTGTATTTTTTTTTACACAAAGTTGTCCATTTATAAGATATTTCTAACACACAGCATGTACATACCAATAATTACACCCCAAAATACATTCTGCTACTCCACCTGAGTATGGCAATACCACATATGTAAGACTTTTCCACAGCCTGGCCACATCCAGAGGCCCAACATCCAAGTAGCGCCTTCAGGCTTCTAACACATAGCACATACATACCAAGAATTACACCCCAAAAATACATTCTGCTGAGAAAAGGGTAAACAAAAAAATTACTTGTGGTATTAGTAGTGCAGTTGTCCACAGAGGAGAGTATTGGTCTAGGCAGCAAGCAGGGACGTGGTCAGCAACAGCGAAAGGAATCGCCCAGGCAGCAGGAAGGAATACTGTCCATAGTCACTACAGGCAGCAGGAAGAGCTATTGCCAGCACAGCCCAAGCATTGGTCCAGGAAGCAGAAAGACATGTGGTCAGCAACAGCCAAATGATTTGTCCAGGCAGACAGATGGTCAGCACAGCCAAAATATCAGTCCTGGTAGTAGGCAGGAACACAGTCCATAGTACAGGTAGCAGGCGTGGTCAGCTCATGTGACAGGCAGAAGCATGATGGTAGTAAGTCGGCAACAGGCAGAAATATCAGGCTTAGGGCCTTGGTCGGGTAAGACCTGAGCACAGGGGTAGAGGCTTTGTTCCACCCAATCTCTTTGAAGCCTCCGGACTAACAGACCCTTTTCCAGGAAATACAAAACCCGGAGAAAACCAAAAACTTTGTTTTCTCCACTCGGAAAACCTGTTCTGGAGCCCCTCACATACATGAGACCCTTCTGTTATCTTGAACCCAACTAATAGAGTCTCAGGGCTCGATTAACAGGCCAA